TAACATGTTGGCTGACCTCATTGATACGGGGGTAGCAGCAAGGCCTACAACTGCCTCACCTTTCCCTGGACCCTCCTTCATTTCTCTGACTCCTGGGCCAGATGACAAAGGATGCCAGAAGCTTCTGGAGCTCACCTATGTCATCAAGTTGGGAGGCAGCGAGAACTGACATGAGTCCCACTTTGTCCTCAAGCGTTCCAGCTTATGCTCATAGATTCTAGCTTCTCCCTTTGCTCTCCTACTTATTTATTTATTCATTCATTCATTTATATTATTTATTTATTGAGAGAGGGGTCATGCTACATCACCCAGACTGGAATGCAGTGGTGCAATCACAGCTCACTGCAGCCTCAACCTCTTGAATAGCTGGGTCTACAGGCACACACCACCACACAGCTAATTTAAAAAACAATTTTTTTTTCTAGAGACAGGGGTCTCACTGTGTTGCCCAGGCTGGTTTTGAATTCCTGGGTTCAAGTAATCCTCCCTCCTCAGCCTCCCAAAGTACTGGGATTACAGTCAGGAATCACCACAGCCAGCCTTCTCCTTCACTTTATGTCCGTCTTCCCTTCCCAACTGCCTGCCCTGTGGACATTAAGCTCCAGCAACAGACGTTAAAAACAGCATCCCTATCAGAGACTGCTTAACCAGTGCCCACAATTACCCAAAGCCAGATCCCTGTAGCAAATCCCTTATGCTTCTCTGATTAAACCCTAACTGATACAAGAGCGTATGGATGTGTCATTTTGTGTTGTGTTGTTTTGTTTTGTTTGAGACAGTCTCCCTCTCTCACTGGGCTAGAGTGCAGTGGTGCAATCTTCACTCACTGCAACCTCCACCTCCTGGGTTCAAGCAATTCTGCCTCAACCTCCTGAGTAGCTGGGATCACAGGCATAGGCCACCACACCCACTAATTTTTTTTTTTTTTTTTTTTTTTTTTTTTGAGACAGTGTCTTGCTCTGTTGCCCAGGCTGGAGTGCAGTGGCATGATCTTGGCTCACTGAAACCTCCGCCCCCCATGTTCAGGCAATTCTTCTGTGTCAGCCTCCCTAGTAGATAGGATTACAGGCATGCTACCATGCCCAGCTAATTTTTGTATTTTTAGTAGAGATAGGGTTTCACCATGTTGGCCAGGCTGGACTTGAACTCCTGACTTCAGGTGATCTGCCCACCTTGGCTTCCCAAAGTGCTAGGATTACAGGCGTGAGCCACCGTACCCTATTGTTATTTATTTATTTTTGAGATAGAGTCTCATTGTCACCCAGGCTGGAGTGCAGTTGCATCTAGGCTTACTGCAACCTCTGCCTCCCAGGTTCAAACGATCTCCTGCCTCAGCCTCCCAAGTAGCTGGGCTACTCGTGCCACCACACCCAGCTAATTTTTGTATTTTTAGCAGAGACGGGTTTTGCCATGTTGGCCAGGCTGGTGTCAAAATCCTGCCTCAAGCGATCCACCTGCCTCGGCCTCCCAAAGCGTTGAGAATACAGGCGTGAGCCACCATGCCCAGCCTCATCTGCTGATTTAAATGTTAACCTTAGCCAGGCACAGTGACTCATGCCTGTATTCCCAGCAATTTGGGAAGCCGAGGTGGGCAGATCACTTGAGCTCAGGTGTTCAAGACCTCCCTGACTAACATAGCGAAACCCATCTCTACTAAATATATAAAAATTAGCTGAGCGTGGTGGCGCACACCTGTATTCCCAGCTACTAAGGAGGCTGAGGCAGGAGAATCACATGAACCCGGGAGGCAGAGATTGCAGTGAGGCTAGATGGTACAACTGCACTCCAGCCTGAGCGACAGTGAGACTCCATCTCAAAAATAAGAGTAAGACAAATATGCATGTTTGCTTATAGTCACATAAAGTCATTCTGGAAGGATACATAAAAAGAGATGCCCTGGGAACAGGAAGACTTTTCACTTTTTATGTGTATGGTTTTTTAAAATCAGATATATGTTTTATCTATCCACAGCATTAAGTAACAAAGTTTAAATCCCCTTGCATGCCTTCCTCACCTGTAGGGTTGTGAACACTGGAGAAAATAAATCATGTTTTACACTCACTTTTGTACTCCTGGTATTTAGTATATATCCAGTAAATATTAGAGGAATGAATGAATGAATGAACCAGAAAATATCAGATTTAGTGTCAGAGAGAGGAGAGGAGCCAGGCACAATAGCTCACACCTGTAATCCCAGCACTTTGGGAGGCTGAGGCAGGAGGCTCACTTGAACCTAGGAGTTGGAGACCAGCCTGGGTAACAAAGTGAGACCCTGTCACTACAAAAAAAATATTAGCTGGACATGGTGACATGCACCTGTCATCCCACCTATTCAGGAGGCTGAGGTGGGAAGATTGCTTGAACCTGGGATGTTGAGGCTGCAGTGAGCCATGATTGTGCCACTCCACTCCAGCCTGGGTGACAGAGTAAGACCCTGTCTCTAAAAAAGAAGGGAGTTATGGCTGTGCGCAATGGCTCATGACTGTAATCCCAGCACTTTGGGAGGCTGAAGCAGGCAGATCACAAGGTAAGGAGTCAAGACAAGCCTGGCCAATATGGTGAAACCCCATCTCTACTAAAAATACAAAAATTAGCTGGGCTTGGTGGCACACAGCTGTAGTCCCAGCTACTTGGAAGGCTGAGGAAGGAGAATTGCTTGAACCTGGGAGGCAGAGGTTGCTGTGAGCCGAGATCATGCCATTGCACCCCAGCCTGGTCGATAGAGTGAGACTGTGTCTCAAAAAAAAAAAAAAAGATGCAAGTCACTAAGTCCAGCCTACATTCAAGGAAAGGGGTACACATGGGGTGGTGACCAGGAGGCAGGGATCACTGGGAGCCATGTTAGGAGCTGTCTGCCACAAAGAGGGAAAAGCAATGAAAGGATGAAGTCAGGATGGTGGTTACCTCTGAGTGAAAGTGAGGGGGAGAGAAGCAGGAGGCATATGGCAGGTGTACATTATTTGTAATAATTTCATTCTCGGGGCAGGTGACGGGTTTATAGGTGTTCATAACTGACTTGATTATGGACAAATGGGGAGAGAGTGTCATGAACCAAGGATTATATTTAGTCCAATTCAATAATATTTAAAATATTCAATAATAAATGAAATAAAAATTGCTAACTACTCCTGACCCTGCTCTGAGCCCCATCCATGCACTCCACCTGGTCGTAGGTTAACACTGGCTCCATCTGACCCTCCACTTGCCCCAAACTAACCATTAGCCCTTTACACACACAGATCCTTACTCTAGCACCATGATCTATCCATAATCTGCAATAGGCCCAGCTACTCAGGAGGCTGAGGCAGGGGAATCGCTTGAACCCAGGAGGCAGAAGTTGCAGTTAGCTAAGATAATGCTACTGCACTCCAGCCTGGACAACAGAGCAAGACTCTCTCAAACAAAACAAAACAAAACAAAACAAAACAAAACAAAACAAAACAAAAAGAGTATTGCTATGAATGTTGCTGTAAAATGTCTCCCAGAACACAGAACACAAGATCCTAGGTTTCTCTTGAGTACGTGTTAGGTATATGCCTAGGAATGGAATTGTTGGATCTCAGGATGTTTTGTTTTTGTTTTGAGGCAGAATCTTGCTCTGTTGCCCAGGCTGGAGTGTACTAGCATGATCTTGGCTCACTGCAACCTCTGCCTCCCCACTTCAAGCAATTCTCCTGCCTCGGCTTCCCAAGTAGCTGGGACTACAGGCGCCCACCACCACGCCTAGCTAATTTTTTTTTTTTTTTGAGATGAAGTCTCATTCTGTCACCCAGGCTGGAGTGCCGTGGCATGATCTCGGCTCACTGGAATCTCTTCACCCTGGGTTCAAGCGATTCTTCTGCCTCAGCCTCCCAAGCAGCTGGGATTACAGACGCCTGCCACCATGCCTGGCTAATTTTTGTATTTTTAGTAGAGACAGGGTTTCACCATCTTGGCCAGGCTGGTCATGAACTCCTGACCCTGTGATCTGCCCGCTTCAGCCTCCCAAAGTGCTGGGATTACAGGTATGAGCCACCGTGCCCAGATAATTTTTTTTTTTTTTTTTTTTTTTTTTGGAGACAGAGTTTCGCTCTTGTTACCCAGGCTGGAGCGCGATGGCGCGATCTTGGTTCACCACAACCTCTGCCTCCTGGGTTCAGGCAATTCTCCTGCCTCAGCCTCCTGAGTAGCTAGGATTACAGGCACGCGCCACCATGCCCAGCTAATTTTTTGTATTTTTAGTAGAGACCGGGTTTTACCATGTTGACCAGGATGGTCTTGATCTCTTGACCTTGTGATCCACCCACCTTGGCCTCCCAAAGTGCTGGGATTACAGGTGTGAGCCACTGAGCCCGGCAATTTTTTGTATTTTTAACAGAGATGGGTTTTCACTATGCTGGCCAGGCTGGTCTTGAACTCTGACTTCAAGTGACCTACCCGTCTTGACCTCCTAAAGTGCTAGGGTTACAGGCCTGACCCATCCTGGCTGGATCTCAGGATTAACAAATGTTCCACATTACTGGTAGTCAGAATACCATTAAAGCTGGGGTCACGCCATGGCTGTAGTGTGTTGGCCCGGGTTGGGAGTAAAGCTTGGCCTCAATCCACTGAAGTTGGGGTCAGTCCGTGAGCAAGGTTGGAGTTCTACAGAGGGCTGGGTTAGGGGTCAGTCCATGGGCAGGGTTGAGGGTGAGTGCATGACCACCTTTGGGAAGAATCTAAAGCCTGGGTTTGGGGCTGGGTTTGGACAAGGCTGGAGAACACTGTGAGGGTGGGTTTTGGGATCAATCTAAGGCCAGGGTTAGAAGTTAGACTGTCATTGTGCATAAAACCTGACCCCGGGGATGTCATCAACCTAACGAGCTGTGACCACACAGGACCCAGCCACTCACAAGACGAAACCCACTATGGGTCCAGAAAGCTCTTTCACTCGAGGCAGGAGTGGGGAGATGAAGGACAAGGGAAGCAGGGACTCCCTCCCTTCAGAGATCTGTGCAGAAAGCGAAGGCAGGCACAGGAAATAGAACAAAACAGTAACTTTAATGGGGCAGCCCTGAGCCGTATATCCTTCAAACCTTCCCTTCAGTAGCCTGTGCCCGAGGAGGGTGGGGTGAATGCTACAGGCAAGTCGATGTCCTCCCTATTCCTGGAGATCCCACTTCTCACCCCTTCCTCTCCAGCTGCTGAGGTCTCCGTCGCCGAGCAGGGTCCAGGTAAGCTCCCAGGAAGAGCAGGGGAGCCCCTCAGCGGCCCGCGGCAGATTCCCCCTCGGCTGAGGGGAACTATCCTGGATGGAGACACCGCAATCCTTGGAGCTGGGCAGGGACCTGATTCTGGGAGTGTGGACGGAGCCAGGGACTGCCCCCTAAGGCCCAGCGCCAGGAGCTGCAAGGCCGGCCCGAGGTGTTGGACACTGCTTTGGGGGGCAGGCCAGGTCTCTGCACGTGGCTTTTGGGCTCTGGAAAGCAGTCCATTTTCCTGACCCGGATGGAGTGGGAGGAGGCGGCTGTCCCGGGCCTCGGCTTGTACGGCTCCCTGTTCCACATTCTCCCACGCTCACCCATCCCAAGGAAGGAGGGCACTCGGGCCCCAAGAGGCTCGTGTGAGCAGCGGGCTCCACCCTCCCAAACGTCCCTCCGTTGGTGGGTGGGTCGGGCTCGGCATCGGGGCTCTGGAGGGTGCCGGGGCGTCCCAGCGCGGCCCGGGCCACAGTTCATCGCTGCTTACGCTCCGCCTGCTGGAGCCGCCGGGAGAGGTCTGCGATGCGCACGTTCTTCAGCTGAAGCAGCTGCTCCAGGCGCCTCACCTTCATCTGCAGGACCTAAACCGCGCCGCGCAGGGGTCAAGTCCAGCGGCCTGCTCCCTCCTGCTCGGCCTCTGCTGGCCATGAGACCCCACCCGCAGCCTTCCTAGACCCCTCACCTGCACCGTCTCCTGCGAGGCCAATAGCTCCTGCTCCTTTTCAGCGATCTGGAGGACGAACCTTGGGTCGCCCTGCAATGCCTGGTTATACGCTGGAGGCCGACCCGCGGGCGGAGGGTCCCCTCTAGGGTGGGAAGCAGCTTAGCCAAGGCCTGGACCTCGGGCCCTATACTCACCCTTCCAGTGCCCTCGACTAGGCCTTCCCGTCTCCCCTCTAGCCCGTTTTCTGCCTCCCCGTTGCCTCAGGCTCAGCCTGCCCCTGCCCTCCAACCCCAGCCTGTGTGCAGCTTGGTGAAGTCGGGCACTCCAACTTCTTTACCTGAGCTGACCCCCTCCCTGGAGGTCCGGGGCACCTTCACCTCGGGCTTTCTCTGATAAACCTGAGACAAGGCAAATGGAGGAGTGACTGTGCCGGAGTCTCATTCTCCTGCTTCCCCCTCCCCAGTTCCACTCTCACAAGCAACAGGAAGAAGGACAGAAGGAAAGCTCCACCGGGGAAGGAGAAATGGGAAAGGCCACCTTACCCACATCCATGTAGCCACTGCCATCCTGGGGAGCCAGCTCCTGAAAGAACCCCGCGGGTCCACCGTGAGCCCGGCCCCTGTCATCCCCAAGGAGCCCTCTGTCCTTTCCACAGGCCCCCAGACCAGGCTTTATTAGCCAAGCACCCCTCCCCCACACTTATCACCCAGGCACCCAGGCACCCAGGCACCCAGGCACCCAGGCCGGGCTTTCCAATGTCTGGGGAGCGCTCCCCACCCAGCCCCCGGAGCAGTGGGAGAAGCTCGAGTGCGGTGGCACCTGTAAGGAGCCCACGCCCTGCTTCCTGTGCCTCTGCCGCTCCTCCAAGCGCTGCCTAAGCGGGATGAGCACCAGCTCCACCACTCCAGGGACACACTGAGCAATCTTGCGCATCACGTCATCTGGTACTGAAAAGTTCAGTTTGTTCAGTACCTTCCTGAGGGGTAGACACAGGGATAGCGGATTGGGTCCCAGGGAAATGAAGTGAGGGGTGGGGGAGAGGGAAAGGGGCATGGTGGTGGCAGTCCTGAGTTCACAGCCCTGGGAAAGTGGAAGGGCATTGCATCTGAGCTTCCTTGTGTGGGTGTCCTGAGATTCCTTCCTTGCCTCCTTCCGAATAGAAATCTCTCTCTTTTTTTTTTTCTTTTCTTTTTTTTTTTTTTTTTTTTTGAGACAGAGTTTCACTCTTGTTGCCCAGGCTGGAGTGCAATGGCACAACCTCAGCTCATCACAACCTCCACCTCCCAGGTTCAAGCAATTCTTCTGCCTCAGCCTCCCGAGTAGCTGGGATTATAGGCATGTGCCACCATGCCTAGCTTATTTTGCATCTTTAGTAGAGATGGGGTTTCTCCATGTTGGTCAGGCTGTTCTCAAACTCCTGACCTCAGGTGATCCACCTGCCTCAGCCTCCCAAAATGCTGGGATTACATGTGTGAGCCAATTCACCTGGCCAGAAGAGCCTCTTAATTGTGTAATCAGATAGATTCTGTATGTGCTAACCTTCCCCACCCTGCCACCAATACAATCTCAGCTTGGGCAACCAAGACCATAGGAGATGATGGGGCTGGGGTAGTCCTTCCTGGGAACCTAGGGTGGGGGCTAGATATTCCCAATCCTGCACCCAGGTATTCTGCTACCTGTTCAGATGACCCCAGTTGCTGAGCTTCTGCTGGATAGAGTTGGCGGGGACATAATTGTGCATCTCCACCATCTTGGGGAAGTAAAACTTGATGACCTCTGCAACTAGGACTGAGGGAGTGGGGAGCAGACATGGAAGGTGGGGGCATGGGTAAGGAAGGAGAAGGGGAGAGAAGGTGGAGGTGGGAGAATCAGGCATGGCAGAGTGGTAGAAACCAGTGTAGAGGTGGAGATGCAGAAAGGGGAAGGATGATAGGGAGGGAGACAAAGACATTGAGATTAGTGATAGGTAGAGGAGACTAAGTCTCCAGCATACCTCAGAGAAGCCACATCCCTCCCCCATTGATTTAGGAATGGGAATACTGAGTCTCCGGTCCTCTCGTTGAGAATGAATCAGCCTGGTACGGTGGCTCATGCCTGTAATCCCAATACTTTGGGAGGCCGAGGCAGGTGAATCACCTGAGGCCAGGAGTTTGAGACCAGCCTGGCCAATATGGTGAAACCCTGTCTCTACTAAAAATACAAAAATTAGCCAGGTATGGTGGTGCATGTAATACCAGCTACTCAGGTGGCTAAGGCAGGAGAATTGCTTTAACCCTTTAACCTGGGAGGTGGAGGTTGCAGTGAGCTGAGATTGCACCACTGCACTCCAGCCTGGGTGATAAGAGTGAAACTCTGTCTCAAAAAAAAAAAAAAAAAAAAAAAAAAAAAAAGAGAGAGAGAGAGAGAATAAGTCTCCAAGAGAGGCTTTCAAGAGCCCAGGGAATTCACATGGATGCATGCTCCCATGCATGCGCACACACACACACCCCAACACCAAAGTTCCAGGAGAGTCAAAGACTCACACAAGTAGAAACGTGATAAGATCCCCTACACATAGAGACGTACGGCAGAATGTGTAGACACATAGAACAAACACATGCTAGACACACATAGGCACACATGTAGAACACACATAAACAGAAGCACAAAAAGCTACATATGCACATAGCCTCCCCAAGTATACACATACAGAGATGCACAGAAGTACTTGACATGAGAAGAAGACAGAGGAGTATTTCGTCATTGAGACCCCAGGAGACATTCCTAGAAACACAAACACCTATACAATCACAAAGAAACACATGCACACAAGACCCCCCCCAATACAGGACTAAATATGTCAACATACATATGAATACACACATGCTCGGACTCTCACAAGATGAACATAGAACACATAGCAATGAGTGAGGACATACAGAAATGCACAAATATATATGCAGACATATATCTTAGTCATTAACGTCCCTGGAGAGAGCTGAGGGCACAACCCCGCGCATGCACACAGGATAGAACATGTAGACATACATATGGACACACATTGTTCACACACAGATGCAAATAGAAAACACATAAGCACACACGTCTACAATTCGAAGTCTCAGGAGATAGATTCCTCCCCACCTCCGCAAGCACACAAACACAAAGAGTTTGCACAGAGACCATTACACACGAACATACAGGACAGAACATGCACACACACAGGGGCACACACCTCCATCACTAAAGTCCCTGGAGAGGTTTCGCTTGGGCCGGGACAAAGGGATGTTGTCTACCCACAGGTACAGCTGGTGCAGCGCCTCCTCATCCACGCTGCTCTCCATTGGCGTCCTCAAGGGCTGGACGTCCAGCGGTGCCGCGTCCAGCCACAGCCTCACGACCCTTCAAGCGCTTTCTCTCTCGCCACTGTAGGAACCATTAACTGCCGCTGCCTGCCTAATCCAGAGACTCACGTCCCAACTGGGAGCGGCCATATTGTTTTCTGAAACCATGGAAACCGTCCCCGACTCGCTTGGGAGCAAAGACTTCTGGGATTTGTAGTTTTATCCTCTCCCCGCTACCTCATCTCAGGCCCGAGCTTTGAAAAGGCGGTTAGCCTTCTCCTTCTCCCCAAGAAGGCATGACTTCTGTGCCCACGCCACCTGCTGATCAGCCACTGACCCGCTCTGGGACCAGCCAAAGCCAACAAGATCCCCAGAATTCCTGCATCAGCACCCCGTAGGGTGGGGATTCCCCTTCTTGGCTGTCTATAGCTGTCAGTCCAAAATAAAGGGAGCTCCCCAATGTTTGTCAGCTTTATCTGGAGGTCCATTGTTGATAATATGCCACCCAAATGGGTTGTGTGGTACCAACTATTTCCTGCTTCGTCCCTCTCCAATGATCATGGGGCCACTGCCACTCACCCTTCCCAGCAGTGTCCTGGTGGAGTATTTAATAGGTAACCCAGACTTCCATGGAGAACACCAGAGTTCGAGGCCAATACTTTGGGCAGGTCATTTAACTTCTTAACTCTATTTCCTCCTTTGTGAAGTGACAATGGTTCTCACTTATTTGTCCCAACTGGGTAATGGGAAAGAGCTTCACAAATGGGAAAAAATGTTAATATTTAAAGAAAACCTGTTTGTATGGGAAATGGGGAAATGGAGTTGATTTTAGGTACAGAAGCAGCAAGAGCTCCTACAGACACTTCCACACCCCTCATCTCCCTCCAAAGAGCTATTCTTCCATGGATTAGAAATTCAGTCTGGGCGCGGTGGCTCACGCCTATAATCCCAGCACTTTGGGAAGCCATGGCGGGTGGATCATCTGAGGTCAGGAGTTTAAGACCAGCCTGGCCAACATGGTGAAATCCCCTTTCTACTAAAAATACATAAAATTAGTTGGGCGTACTGGCAGTCTCCTGTAATCCCAGCTATTTAGGAGGCTGAGGCAAGAGAATTGCTTGAACCCAGGAATCAGAGGTTGCAGTGAGCTGAGATCACCCCATTGCACTCAAGTCTGGGTGACAGAGCGGGACTCCATCTCAAAAAAAAAAAAAAAAATCATTTCAGTACCCAGTTCATTTCAAAACAGCACTACCCTTAGGAGGGTTACAAATAGGAATATGGGTCCCTCCTTAGTGAAGAGGTACTTCTAGAGTCAGGATGGGAAGAAAGCTTGACTAACCATATGGTCTTGGGCACCCGACCAGACCTCTCTGCCTGGTTTCCCATGGCTTTACCTACCTCATAGGGGCTTGGTGAGCACCTAAAGCATTTAGCACAGATCAGGGACCCTATTAATATCAGCTAGTACTATCATTAATGAGACAGTCTCAGTTCCAGCAAGAGGTGTTCTTTTTGGCAGAAGACAAATGGAAGAACTTTGTCTCGTTAGTACCTGCACTGAGGTAGCTGGGTTAACTGGGAGCTCCTGGGGAAGCAGGCATTGCTCCCTCCTGCTCACTCCAGAGCAGGTCGGGCTTCCCTGTGGCTCTCTGGTCTCCAACTCCAGGGCTCAGATTTGGGTCGGGAAGGTGATGGCAAGGGCGATCCCAACTATTTTTGTTGTCACTTCAAAGCTCTCAAGGCCCGGAGGGGATTCCTGAATGCCAGAAATGCATGCCAAGAATGGAAGTCACCCCCATTTCTTGTTTTAAAGTCACATATAGTGGCCTTGATTTTCCATAAGGGGACATATCCAGGGCCAGCTAGGGGCAAGAGATGAACTGGATATTCCCTCATTAACATTCCAGTGTTGGAGAGAAACTCAGTGCTGAGGGTGAGCCAGGGTTGGGAAGGAAACACAGAAGTGATGTGCCAGCCTCAAGTGAGGTGGGAAAACCGGTTTGGGGCACAGAGCTGCCAGCCCTGCTCAAGCCCAGGCCCTCCCCTGTGAGGGAGGGGTAGAGAGGGAGGGGCTGGCTCTGAAAGGAAAAAAATGCATAGGACCAGCAAAGGGACTTGTCCTCACCTTTGTACTGGGGGGCCCCTGGAAAACACTGCACAGGGAATTACCAACTCATCCTCTGCTTCTTGGGGGTGCAATCTGTTCCTAGCAACTTCAGCTTCCTCCTGCCACTGTGCTCAGGGTGGCCACCAGGCTTGGAGATGCTGATCACTGAAAAGCCTAAAAGGGCTTCCCAAGTAAGGCACCAAAGGGTGCCCCATATGCCCCTCCAAATGTCAATCTAGACTCCAGAAGCTGCCCCAACACTCCTTTCTTTCTGTCCTGGCCCCAATCCTGCAAAGGCCTTCAAACTGGCCTTGATAGGCGTAGTCCCCATGTGCATATTGATTTGCCTCCAGACTGCTGGCTGCCTCCCTCCTGCCAAAGCCAAGTGACCCCAAGCTTCTAATACCAAAGCAATCCAAGGTTAAGCTGCCTTGAACTCATCCCAAGTAAGGCACACGGAAGTCACTTTCTGGCCCAAGCCTAGATCACATTTTAATATGAATGTGGAAGGCTCCTCCTGCCCCTCTTCCTGGTCAGGGCCACCCTCTCAACACTTGCTTCCATGTCCCACCAGAGCAAGGACCAAAGGGAGCCAGGAAGAATATGTCCCCCAAGACAGACGCAAGCCCAGACCATGAAGGATGCACCTTTGGCTGTTAAAATGTTCACCCCCACAAAAGTGGAGTGGACAGATTTATTGAAATCAGACTGGGAAAGGAGCAGCTGGATGGCTGGACTCTGGGCCCAGCCCCAGGCCCCTCTGCCCAGGATGGGGCCCTGCCAAAGAGGGAGGAGAGGAATGGGGCCTGCAGCTGCCCATGAGGGAAGCGCCCATTGTCACTCCCATGGGGGGGGCGGCCTCTTGGAAACATCCAATCTGGAAAGAAAACCAAGGGCCAAAAGTCACATGGACAGGGCCAGAGAAAGGGGCTGGGGAGGTGGAAAGCAGGCAGAGGCAGGCTTAGGGGCCTGCAGTGAGTTAAACTGTGCTTCTCAAGGCGGCCCAGGGGTAGGGGTGGGGGCTGCCAGCCTTGCAGGGGGCCTAGGCTGGACCTTCCTCTGGAGCCCTTCCCAGAATGGCTTTGGGGTCCCCCCCATCTAAGACCTGTCGTGGATGGCAGAGGGGAGAGGCACTCTCCGGCAGGGAACCTCCAGGGCCCATCCCTGGCTGCTGCTGTGGTTAGTCCACTGACGGCACGGTGTGGTAGCACCGGACAGCTCCCCACCCACCCCACCTGGTCCCGAACCCAGGGCCAAATGGAGAGGAAAGAGGATTCTGAGAAAGAGGCAATAAGCAGGCAGTGAGGCTGACCTCAGCCCTGGGACCGGCCAAGACCGGGCCTGTTGCAGGGCCAGGGGAAGCATTACTAAAGGATCTGAGGCTCCGAACTCTGGCTCCATGCACAGTGGGTGCCCAGAGAGTCCTCTGCCCCGGGGTGCAGCTACCAATCTAGGTTGGGGGTACAGCTAGGTCCAGCGACTCAGCTTTGATGTCCAAGACCCCGAACTCCTGCCTGCCTGGCATGGTTCTTCCTGGTCACATGGACCAGATCATGTTCCAAGTGGAGGATGTGGCTCTGCACTCGGTCATCAATGGGGAAGGAGGTCAGGTACCTCTTGACCATGGCGAAGTAAGCCATGGCCTCCCCAAAACTGGGTACAGGCACCTCATCACCATCCTCCTCCTCATCATCATCATCTTCATCTTCATCATCCTCTTCCTCATCGTCCTCTTCTTCCTCACTGTCCGACTCAGAGTCCTCCCCACCTTCCAGGAAATGGAGAGTAGGGCACTGGGCCTCCTCCTGGGCACCATAACCCCCGAAGCTGCCACCGGCCTCCACTACTCCCTGGGCCCAGTCCTCAGCTTCCAAGCCCTCAGAGGAGCTCTCTTCCTCTTCCTCCTCCTCTTCATCACTGTCCTCAACATCACCCTCCTCCTCCACCTCCTCTTCCTCCCCCAATTCTTCTCCTTCCCCCCCTTCCTCCTCCTCCTCCTCCTCCTCTCCCTCCTCCTCTTCGTCCTCTCCTTCACCCTCCTCTTCCTCTTCTTCTTCCTCCTCCTCTTCCTCTTCCTCCCCCTCACTCTTGAGGGAAGTGGTGATGGTGGCATTAGGGCCACCCCCAAAGCCAGCCTCTCGAAAGCAGGCGGCTATGTCCGAAGGCTCCACTGCCTGCCAGGCGGCAGCTACAAAGTGCAAGGCCTCCGTGAGACCCAGCTGCAGGCCTGAGCGATCCTGGCCCTCTAGCGCAGCCATGGCCTTAAGTAGCATGGCCTGGCGGTAGTGGCCCTTCACCTGCTGGACCACTCCCCTCTCCAGCGGATGCACGGTGCCCGGAGGGAAGAAGGCCAGCTGCACATGCCGCAAGCCCGAGGTGTCCAGGGACTGGGCAGCCAAGCGGCCGGCCAGCAGTAGGACCCGGCGAGACTCTGCAGCCATGCGGGTGTCCAGGGCCTTCAAGTACTTGGCCAGGGCCTGGGTGGTGACACCACCCTTGGAGTTGGCGGTGTAGTCGCAGGGCAGGCCGGCTTGGCCTGCGCGGGGCTTGGCCGACTTGCCCGCCACCAGCGGGGGCAGCTTTTCGCTGCCGTCGGCGTTGGCGCACAGCAGCACGCTCAGGCGCTGGGTGGCTTGACGCGGCCGGCCGTCTCCTCCGAACAGCCCCGAGGCCTGGTCGGGCAGGAAGTCGTACCACAGGCTGGTCTCTGTGGCGCTGAACACGTCCTGCGAGGCATAGCCCTCGGCCACCGACGGCGGCTGCTCCTCGCGAGCGCGCCAGCCAGTCGTGCTCCCGCCGCTGCCCTCCGAGGGCACGGCGGCCGGGCTGGCAGGCGCCGCCGGGGTGCGGGGGGCGGCGTTTCTCGCGCGGGCGCGGGCCACGCCGCTGCAGGACACCACGCCGTGGCGCCGGCGGAAGCGGTCCAGCCAGCCGTTGGAGGCGGTGAAGTCGTCCATGCCCAGCTCCTCGGCTATGCGCAGCGCCTTCTCCTTGAGGATGATGCCCTTGACCGGCAGGCCGGCGGCGCGGATCTGCTGGAACCAGGCGATGAGCAAGCCCTCGAG